ATTTGTTGAGCTTGTTGTCTCATCATTTTGCTGGACCCATTTCAAACTTCTCTCCTGTTACTGTGCCAGCATTTCCAACACGTGAATGTTCCTTAGTTTTAGTTTGACGTCTTCGACTTTTTGTGATTTTTCGAGTGAAGAGTCCTTTCTTTTTCCTTTCTATGATATGAGACATCAGAGCTCAAAGCATGATTGAACGATACAGAGCCGACTTCAATCTAATGTAAGTAATTTAGCTAGCATGCCCCCCCCCCCCCCGCCCCGTTACCGGAGTCTAGAATAACTTATTATTCAGAAATCTGATACACTCTCCCTTGGTTATAAAGTCTGCCACGGTTGCATTTCAATGGTAAGACAAACTATAACATGAGCCATAGCATATTTTCACACCTTCTCTGACATTTACAGTTTGGCTGTCCACCGTTGACTTGACAGACCGTGGAACTCGGTACTATAATATTATTGACGTTGGCAAGAATACGCTACCTGCCAATTACAAAGTTGTATCTGCTCAGTACCTAGTTTTGAGAAATTTGACGTCATTTTTTGTTCGTTTCCCAATATGAACGTAATTCTTTAAATATTTTGATAGCGACTTCGAATATTCTGACGATTTTGATACAGCAGAGAGAACATAACTTGGTTTTGTTTTAGTTTAGATTTAGGAGAGGTTTTACGGTGCTCACAACTGCATAAGGTCATATGAGCGCCAACGGGTGGATGTCAACAGATAAGTCCTTACAGGGAATCAGACTTACTCTGGTCATCTCTCTAGCTTCTACAGCACAAAGTCTGTTTGACTATCAAGGCACCCCGGAAATAGCAGGTCACAAGAGAGTGACAAACATACAAAAGAAGTAGAGGAAAAACGACGATAGTAAGGATGAGGAAAGAAAAAGCAGCAGTTCCCTGTTGTAGTTCAGGCACAGTTATGAGAATGACATTAATAAATCAGCCAATTTACAATTACCATTTTTCTGTGCATGAAAACTCGAGATGTTAATGTCCCCCACGTTGGGAATGGCCTAAAGACACTTCAGTCAGTAGCACCGCAAGGGGGATGTAACTTGGTTCTGACCTCATGGTCTTAATAACTCAAAATGCCCCAAATTATCAGATAGAGCTTTGTAGTTCTGAGTTAGCAAATACATACCCCGAAATGATGTGACCAGAGGAGGGGGTTGATATTAAGATGTTTCTTGTAACCTAACGTGATTTGTCTGACAATATCTTATCGTCACAGCTTGCCTAGGGTTTACAGTTTGTTTCCTTGATGTCCATTACACTCTCGGCGGCCACATAATCTACATGTACAGTTCATTTTTTTGAAAAAAGAAAACTACCGACGTACACGTGTGTAAAAATTTTCAAAGCAAATGTTAATATATTTGTTATTATCAAAGGCAGCTTGCCTTGTGCCGGAATGAATGACAGTATAATAGCTCATTTTGTCATTGGTGTTCAGCCTGTTTTAAATAATATCCATTCCGCTCTTTCTTTTGGTCCAAGAATAACCAAAGCTTTATTGAAATAATAAATCACATTTTAATATACTTTCTACAAACCCTATAGTATTTTTACACATTTTATGTTCTTTTGTGCCTCACTGTATACGCGTTCGCA